GCTGCGTACTTTGATAACTACATGTACAAGTTCCATGCTTGTATTAGGTGGTATCAAAACCCCGTTCAACATAGTGTCAAGATCGAAAGCAAGAGGACCTGTTGCTAGTCGAACTTGGTCCAAATATCCTATTGCGCAACGCCAAGAAGAGGAAGAATCACCCTCTGAAGATGAAATCCCAATTGAAGAACAAGCCATGGGAGAGCAGAGTCAGGATCTTGCAGAAGCCATGAAGCTGCTTGCCCCGCAGATGATGTAGTTGGGAGCTTTGCTTCAGTCCCAGCAGGACGCTACCAAAGGTCAGCTGGTTGAGACAAATCAGCGGCCGGATACCCTAATCACCAGGTTGGGATCTCAACCAAGGGGTAATCTACCTCTACCAGAGAACCCATGAGATGTCGCAGCGGTCCCCGAGCAGATCGAGTGTACCAAATTTTTCCTGAGTATGAGAATGATTATAATGAGTATGAAGGAAGACCACCAAAAGCAGGGGGTTATGGCGTTGAACCGATTTGAGGGATTAAGATTTCAATCCCATCATTTCAAGGCATTATTAGTGCATCAGCTTATCTTGAGTGGGAGAGAAAGATGGTTATATTTTTCCAGTGCAATCCTTACCAGAGCATCAGAAAGTTATTGTAGCCACCTATGAGTTTACAGATTATGAAGCAGTGTGGTGGGAAAAGATTCAACAACGGCAAAGAAGGAATCTGCAGCCTGAAGTTTCTACCTGGGTGAAACTCCGATGCTTGATACGTGATCGGTTTGTGCCTCCATTCTATCAGAGAAATCTCCATGATGCCTTGCAGGGAATGCGTCAAGGAGCGCGCTCTGTTGAGGAGTACTTCAAGGAGCTGGAACTGCTCATGATGAGAGTAGATGTGAGGGAGGACAAGGAAGCAACGATTGCTTGTTTTCTACATGGGCTTAACAGAGAAATCAAGAATGAAGTAGAGTTTCGACAGTTTGTGGAGTTGGAGGAAGCGGTGCATTTGGGCATGAAGTAGATAAGTAGCTGAAGGTGAGCTCGGGAAGTAGGTACCCACCTTCACCCAAACATGTTGTAGACAACATTCCTAAGGCTAACCTGAATCATCCTAAGCAAGAAGGTGACGAGCTAGCTGCCCGGAACATAGCCCCGGTCATTCAATCCAGGAATGATGGCTCAACTGGAAGCATCCAATGCTTCAAGTCCTTTGGCTGAGGTCACAAGGCTAACCAGTGCCCCAACAATAAGACTCTTGTCTTGCGAGATGGTGAGTACTTTTCTGAGGAGGAGTATGTAGAGCAGCCCATGAGGAATAGATTTGGTTTTGATACTGATTCTAGAGATGATGATGTGGATGAGCACATCAAAGCGGAGAAACTGCCAATAGGGAAGCTTCTTGGAGTGAACAATAGAGCTCTATCTATTGAGGCTTATACAGAGACAGGGCATAGGGATAATTGACGCACTGCGGCCAAGTGTTATTGTAGTATGGAAATGCAGTATAGAGGAATCAAGTAATAAATGTCAACCCAGGGCCTAGTTGTACTGCCTACTCCATGATTATCTATTATCTAGCGGGAAAGTTTAGTGAAAATGAGTTTAAACTAAAGAAAAAATAAGCAGTAAATTGTCTAGCTTCCTGAAGCAATAGAAGAGTCACTCGGGAATGAGTTCCCCTAGCTACTTAGTTAGGTCCAAGTTGTAATTTCCTTAGATTGATATACTGTTGATTAAACTGCGGAAGGTCCGACAGTAGCTTGGAATCTCTTAAGCTGACCAAGCCCTCTTAGACAGACTGACCGGCAGACGACTAGTCATCACCGGGATAGAAAGCTAATGCAATTCTACAGAACTCCACTATTGGAACCAGATTCTAGTACAAAGTAGTGAATTGACTAACTCTCGTATAATCAATTCACTCCTACCGATTAAAGAAACTCTAACAATCTAATCAGATTCTATCTATCTCAGGTTGCAGCAGAAATCAAAAGAAGTTGATCAGGATTCAATTGACTCAATAAACATAGTTCAATCGATTATGATCAAACAGTATATCAATCCAAAATTCATTTAATCAAGATCCCTAACACATGGAACTAGGGTTCTTCATACCCATGTGATAGAAAGGTCTACTCCATAGAGAGAGAGAGAGAGAGAGAGAGAGAGAGAGGAAAACTAAAATCAAAGTAGTCATACTCATAAATATGAGAATAATCTGCTCAGAGATGTCAATCTTCACTCCTAGGGATGCAATCTGGGCTTCAATGGTGAGAAATCCACTCCAAAATAGCTCTTAGGGTTTGTTCTTTCCACTTTCTCTCCCTATAACTCTATTTTTGCTCCAAAAAGTCGAAGCTCCTTCCTTTGGCTCGAATCTGCCTCTTTCAAACTGATTCTAGGAGAATTACGGGCAGAAGCACGGTCGTGCTTACTCCCTTGACCTTGCTTTTCTCTTGGGCTACCCGTGATTTGGTTTTCTTCAGCACTCTTCATGGTTGACTCTCGTTAGTAAACGACCCAAAACTTGCGCCTAAACCTTTGTATACCCGCTAGGACCTAAATATGACAAAATAGCACAACCTAGCATAAAATAGGCCTAGGAGCACCAAAATCAAGTCAAAATGGTTAAGAAATAACTGTGCAAACATGTGCAAATATGACGTTATCAATAATCTTTTCCACTCTCGTTGCCTAGTCGACGGAAAGGTGTTATCTGTTGTGATCGATGGTGGTAGCTGCACCAATGTGATTAGTCTGGATGCAGTCAAGAAGTTGGGTTTGAGTGCCCTAAAGCATCCTCAACCATACACTCTGCATTGGTTGAACGACTATGGGAAGATCAATGTCAACAAGAAGGCCAAGGTTTGTTTTCAGATCAGTGATTACGCAGATGATATTTGGTGTGATGTTGCTCCAATGCAGGCTACTCATCTCTTATTAGGTCGTCCACGGCAATATGATCGAGAGGTCATTCATTATGGAAGGAACAATAGCTATAGGTTCAAGAAGGGAGATTAAAGGTTTCTGCTAAATCACTATCACAGGCTGAAGTCCGAGAAGATCAACAACAGCTGGCCGTGAACTGGGCCAAGGAGAAAGGAGGTGCAAGTGATTCAAGGTCGGAGGACAAAAAAGGAGCACATCTGATGGCTCAAAAGAACATGTTCACTAATTTGAGAATAAGCCCATATGGGAATGTTGCTGATGTTGTTTCTTGCAGGAAAACACCAGCTTTGAGGGCAAAGCTTTTCCAAAGGTGAGGGACTGATGCGAGCCCACCAACTCCCACGGTTCAAGGCCCAAGTTCCCGAGAAGGAGGAGGTCGGGCTGGCGGGAAGAGTAGCGACCGGGTATGTGGTCGAGGAATTTTCCCGATCGGGGAAACGTGGAAGGGACCGGGGAAAGCAGGCATGGAAAAAATCTTATCAGTGGTCCAAAATACCCGACCAGGTATTTTGCCTGGGTTTTTGGTCTGATTGACGGAATTTTGTGTTTTAAGTTGTTTTTTATTTTATTTTTTAATTGTCCAGACCTATATAAAGGCTGGAACTCGGGTTTATGTGTAATTTTTAAGCAGAATATTGATTTTTAACTTGGAGTTAAGCTTGAGGCTTGAACTTTTCTTTGTATCAATCAAGTTTTCCCCTTGATTGTGGTCGAGATTCTACATTTCTATATTGATTGATCATTCTCCCGATTTGTGTTGAGATTGCACTTTCAATTCCATCATATCCCAAACAAACAAAAACCCTAAACAAATCTTTTTCTGTTCTTTCTTGAGCTGCGTTACTTTGATAACTATGCGTACAGGTTCCGTGCTCGTATCAATTTCTTTGGTCCCAGATGAACCAAAGGGAGACTAAGAATCTACCAATATGCTTGTCATCTTCTTTCATCTGGATCTCGCAAAACCACTCCACATAAGTTAGCTACTCTCCTTCTATGCAGAGCGGATGTAGAGGGCTAGGTCTCCCGGTTCTCCAAACCCACGCGCACTCCCTAAACATATGCTCCTATATTTTTTTGACATCAAAGAAGGGACATCCCTCACTACCTTTCTCGGTCCTTTCTAAGATTAGAGCCCCTGTAGGAAGTATATTGCAAATCCATCTTCAGCGAACAACTTGACTTTTGACGGTATATGGAGCTTCCAACGTCGATCCCAGTTTACCCAAGAATAGAATTCACTTTTTTCTTCCTCTTATCTATTCTACCACAACTTATAAGTAAATTTTACGGTGTATTCCTCTGTCTTCTCTTCATTCCAGTCTCTCTCATCCATGCTTGGTTGTCTAGGGGATATGTATCTTCTGAATTCGAATTCGGCCTTCTGTGTTGAAATTAACTTGAAAGAGGTCCTGCGTCCATGTCAGTGATTCCAGATCCATCAGCTCATCCACCGAGGTGGAGTTGCCGAACACAAAAATTGGAGATGTCAATTTACAGTTTTTTGCGCTGGGAACTCATTGTTCTTGCCATATGTCCACACACTAAAAATTAAAAATCATTCTGAAAGTTCACGTACACAATTAATAATTTACTATTCGTGTATATATTTTATTTTTCATTTATTTTCTTCAACATACCACTCAAATTAATTTATTATTTATGTAATCTCATTGACGCGATCGGAGGTTTTGTCCACGACAGAAGCAAGGGAGGTGAGATGGAGGTGTCCTGCAGCGGGGAGAGTAAAGATAAATACTGATGTTGGGGTATTGGCGACGGGAGATATTGAACTGGGAATGGTAGCACGGAATCATGATGCAACCTTCCTTAGGGCTGGGAATTTAGACCAAACCGTATGACAAACCGCGGTTTAGACCGTACCGTACGGTTTGGTCCGGACCGTTAGACCATGAATACAATTTGGTCTGGTCCATGGTTTGCTTCTTTCACTTGTGGTCTAGAATGGTTTGGTCTGGTCTAGACCGTGGTTAACCGTCCAGACCGTGACAAAAATTAACTATGGGCTGAGCCCAACTAGGTAGCCCCAACCCTACACATTTCAATGGGCCAAAGCCCAATTGCATTGCCCACAGCCTACCACAGCCCTAGATGCGTGCCTGCGTGCTTTCCCATCCTCCCGCTGTCCAGCAATTCGGCTGCTGCGTGCGCCGTGCTTCACCATCGCAACTCGCTCGAGCCTCGAAGTGAGAAAGGAGAAGGAGAAGAAAAACGGAAAGGAGAACCCCAATCGTTAACTTTGCAGGCTAGCATGGAGCTTCGTCTCGCCGACTTTGCAGCCCCAACCCCAATCGTCGCCTCGCGCCCTCGCCTCCCCGTCTCCGATTATCCATCATCCGCCCCACCGCCGACTTTGGAGCTTCGTCGTTGACTATCCAGCTTCATTGCACGGTTGCTGTTTGTCTCCATCGCCTTCCACCATAGCCATCGACCTCCACCATCCTTCTCTTCTCAGGCTGCTCCATCACCATCGACCTTCACCGACTGGCGACTGCCATCAACCTCCGCCGACCGCCATTGACCTCCGCCGACCACCATCGAACCTATCTATCTTTATAGCCATCGACGTTTGCAATTCTTCCATTGACTCCACCATTGTTTGCTGCCGCTGCAACAGAGAACCAAAACTATGGTAATAATGATTGACTGTTCTTCCATTCCCCTATGTTTGTTCTTCATTCCCCAATTCAAATTGTTACTAAATGGCCAGAATGCTTAATAGTTAATATGCATCTGTCTATTATTCAGGCTAGCAAAAGAGCTCGTTACGAAGATAGCTCTGGATAATACAGGTTTTGTTGAACATGGTCTACTCGGTTCAGACCGTACCGGACCGCACCGCATAGGCGTGGTCTGGTCTGGACCGTATAGGTTATGGTCTGGTCTATGGTCTCTGTTCTACCCTCACGGTCTGGACCGCAGACCGTGTATATGGTTTGGTCTGGACCAGACCGCACCATTTCCCAGCCCTAACCTTCCTCATGGCTGTTGCGAAGTGTGTACCCGGTAGTTGGGTGGTGGAAAGACTGAAGCACTGGCTGCTGAATTTGCAGCCCAAGTCGCCAACCAAAATCATATAATGAATCATATTTTGGAAGTGGACAACATGGGTTTGATGGATAAGTTGACAAGGGCGGAAACTTTGTAATCTGAAATTGGTACTATATGTCAAAATATCAAGCACTGTCTTGCTTTAATGGGTACACCTTCTTGGCGTCATGTTGGTAGAGAAGGAACTCATGCAGCTCATATCATGATATGGCACATGTTAAGATGAGTAGGGATGAGAGGGTAGTCTAAATAGATAAACCACTGATTATATTGATTGACCGACTACAATTGAATAATGTAACCAGTATCACTGGTTAATAATAAGTAATATAGGTTACCATAAACAAAACATTAATTGTTTTCTCATATGATCTTATCTATATCATCAATCGTTCACTTAATCTCGTCAACCACTTTAAATTGCGTAACTGATATGGAATCAGATATTCTAAATATTTTTTTTGATTTTTTTCAATGTAGATATTCCAAATATCATAATTGTCTATTATATGTGAGCCATAATAAAGGAGTTGAGACCATTTTCATTTTTCCAAAGTCATTCACGTAGTGAAAACGAAGAAAATGGAGCAGGCAATGTTAACGATGAAAACGGGTTATCTACACATCCTCCATTAATATATGGTAGAGTTTTGTGTATTTTTCTCCATTTCAAATTTCATACAACGAGAGTGAAAGTAGGAGGGTCATTTTTGTCTTTACACATTTATTATTTATTTCATATAAAAATAGCAATATCAAGATTTGAACCCGGGTCTCTTCAAACAAAGATAACAATCACAACCAGTTACACTAAACAAATTTAGTGCATCCTTTTTTATACAAAAAATAGACAAAGCTAATCTCTGAGAATCAGAGGACTTTTTCATCATAATTAGCAAGCTCACTAAGTCTACCGTATGTATTTTTATCGAGCTTGATACTTCTATTTTCATAGTAGAGTTTCATGTAATTTTCTCAATTTTAAATTCCCGCTCTCTCCTTAATTTTTGCTAAAGGTAAATTGGTAATTGATAACATGGAAGAAACTAATTATGTAACTACGTGTTGTATCCCTGCATTTTTCAATTTAAATTTAAATTTTGTGTTTTTTTTATCTTTGTTCTTTTCTTTCTAACTTCCTCCGAAATTTCATCCATCGTGCAATAGTTTGCGCCTTTCACTTCCCAGTACAAGACTGTCATTGAAAATCAATCTTCACGTATCTCTTGGCACTACGGTTTTATTGTTGGGGATTTTAAGCTGGGCGAGTAGAAGATTTCAACTCCGATATCAATTCATGGCAAATAGAATGGAGTTCATCAATAACTGAAGTTGTAGAAGGAGGATTAGAAATTGAATTTTTGGTTGAATATATGCCTCTTGAGATAGAAATTTGGTTATACAACGGAGAGTTGTGGCTATTGGATCTTTAGGTTTATGGTTTTTGCAATTGTCACAACCTATTTCTATCTTAAAACGAGGAATTATTGATTGATTGTTTGAAATAGGTCGCTTCTTTATTCAACCTACTGGAACTAATAGATAAGGAGTGTCTAATTTTGCGCCTTATTACTTTGATCGAGTCTATTCGTATATTGGAGTAACCCTGATTTTTTCGTTTGCTCTCAAGTTGTGATGGTCCCCTCTTAGCTGAGTTTTTAGTATATATATGACTTGAATCAACAACTCTCCATTTCTTTTTGATTAGTGACATTGTTTCTAAAAGGAGAGCATTGAACCCTTTATATAGGATTGTGAGGTTTAAGATTTAGTTTCAAACTATCTATGGTTGTGTGAGAATTTCAGTGAGCTTTTATACTCTATATTTCTTGACTGTGAAAAAAACTAACCAATAGCATTTTAACAGGGACTTAATTAACATTATGAAAATGGGGTCAATGATACATTTTTATATTTTATATTCTTAAATGATTATGATATTTCTCCGAATGTTCGACCTATATATTATTATTTTATGTATCATCTCGATCGAATGATTATCAATAAGATTAAACGGGTTAATAGACTTAAAAGTAACGTAAAAATACAAATAATCAAATATGAGCATTCCGGTCAAAGGGCCGGGTTATAAGCTAGTAAATATAAGGGAATGTCAGCGGAATTTTTATACGTCAGCCAAGTCTTGCCAACCCGCACAGTTCGGAGGGGTTTAGTTGTAAATTCAACTTTGCTTGCTTTTTCTTCCGTGTCATCTTCCTCTCTTCCTGTGAATCTCTTGCCCCTCAAGCTCGATTTCTCTCTCTACTCTCTTCCCTTCAAAATCCTCCTCTATTGCCGGAACCAACAAACTCTCCGCCGCGCCTCGAAGTTCTTCTTCCCTGTCACGATGGCCTCTTCCCCTCTTCTATTCCATTTTCCTGACGACCGATTCTCCCTCTCTCTACTGGTCCGGACTCCTCTGTTTTTGTTATCTCTCCCACCGCAAGGCCTAAAATTAAGTAATGGATTTTGACAATTTTCTTTTATTCGAATCAGTCTCCGAAAAAAGGAATAGAAGGTGCGTGCCTCCACCGGATAGTAGGTTAATTTTGACATTATCTATAATTGGATCGGGGAAAGCAATAAATACACAAAATCCGACAAAAGCCTCTTGAGAAACGATTTGCGGCCATCCCGCACTTCCGTATAGTTTCGAGAATCATCTGCATGTCACTGGGAGCTATGGTTTTCCATGGGTTCCTTCACTTTGGAGGAGGGAGAGAGAGATATAGAGAGATATGGCACATTGAATAATAAAAATAGGTATGGGTTTGCAGAATTCTGGCAAGCAAGGAAAGCAAATTGCTTCTCTCTCCATGAGTTTTCTTTGGTTTTGGAAGAGGAACAGTCAACAGAGAGAGACAAAAAGGAACAGTTGCGGAAACAAGATGCACCAGACCTACTGCGCCCAAAGGAGATGAAAGGTTGCTGGGTAGGCCAAATTAGGTTTAGGATTTGTTTTTACCTTCTTATTATTAATACATGTAAACTTTAAACTCATTCTAAATTATAATAGTTAAACTCTTCACTAATTACATAGGATACATATTTCTTAAAAAAAGTCTGGGTCAACTTGATTGAATCCAATTCGGCCGGTTAACCATAACTCAATTACTTATGGTAATGGTAATCTCAAAAGCATTGATGCAATGAAATCAAAAGAGGCTTTGGTTTGTTCTTATATGTATTCATTAAATCTAGATATAATATCTTAAATTAAGAAGTGGATATCATATTGTAAGTCGTGACATAACAATTACAACTTATAACATTTATTAATGTCAGACAAATTTTTCTTAAGACAATTTTTAGTCAATAGTAGAATGTTTTTAGACCAAAATTGTGCAATAAAAAAGTAAGACTTGGTATTGATTAAGAGAAATGTCAACCAAAATTTGGAAGAAATTGAAAAAGATGAGTAATTTGACCATAACTCTAAACTAATTGAAGGATAATACTAAATTATTTGATATATATAAATAACAAAAAAGTATCCTTGCCAATGGGTCGGGCACCAACTAGTATATATCGGAGCAATGATATGTACTGATCTGAGAAAGAAATCTAGTGAGGCTTATGATTTTTTTTCTTCTGCGGTCTGTGTAAGAAATACTGGAGCCTCCAAATCAATATTCAATGTCCAAATGAAAAATGAACAATTATGAAATTTATACGTAGATAGTTGGTGGTTAAGACTTAAGATTTTGAAAACAAAAGGTGTTCCGAAAATGTTATATGATTGAAAAAGTTACAAGAAGAATTACTAGTTGTAAGTCAAAGTCTTTGACATATGCTGGCAAATTTCAGTTGGTTATGTCAGTGCTGTATAGTCTTACTCAGTTTTGGATGTCCATATTTATCCTTCCAAAAGCAGTTACAAGAGCTATTGAGAAACTATGTAGTGACTTCTTGTGGGGGCTGAGAGATGGTACTCAAAAAAAGGTAGTGATTGCTTGGTCTAAGGTCACTTTTCCCAAGAAGGAAGGTGGGTTGGGACTAAGAGATATGGCCTCTTGGAACTTTGCCTGTGTTACAAGGCATATTTTGGATATCCTTTTGAAAGAAGGTTCTTTATGGGTGGCCTGGATCTGGGAATACAAAATCAAGAGGGCTGATTTTTGGACGTTAACTACCAAGGCAGGTTCTTGGCTTTGGCTCAAACTGCTAAAGAGTAGGGACATGTTGAGAAATTGGCTATCTGTGGAGGATGATGGAGTTCATTGGAAAGGGGATCTAATGGTAAAGTTCAGGATTAAGAAAGTTTGGGAGGAAATCAGACCTAAAAGAGCCCTTGTTCAGTGGAGCTCTCTGGTTTGGAAG